TTCCGCGCTGCGTGACAAAAGTTTTGCATTTGAATACGATCTGGCGTTACGGTGCGATTTCGCAAAAATTAAAAGCGGCGCGTTCCACCCCGTTCTAGCGGATCCTAATCCGTTGGATCCGCTCTTTCTGGGTCAAAACAGATCGCCGGAGCCCGGAGATCGATCTCGTGGTGCGCGCCTCGCCGCCGGGGCCCGCGGCGTATCGCGCCCGCTCGGAATTCGCAGGTCTCGAAGGACACCTCGCAGGGAAGAGGGACACATCGTGGTCGACTGCGTGTCCTAGTTTCGCGCAGAATGCGCACCGGGCCACGGTGCATCTCTCTGTCCGATACCCCGGGGGCAATATATGTCGAGGGAGTTGCGTCACGCGAGGCACGCACATCGTGCGGCAAGAAGAATGCGCGAGCGGACCGGCCGTCGAACCGGTTATAACGACGAGTCAACATCCAGCGAATCGCGCACTGAGAGAAAGAAACGATACGGAGAATATCATGTGTTCGATCGTATCTTCGGTAAAAGAAACGGCGCGGACGTAAAGATAAAAAAATATTTATTTGACAATCTTATTTTTGCTCCTTTTTTTTTAAACCAAGTTTCACGTTGATAATCCTTTCAGTAATTTTCAGAAAAGTAATTGACTTTTCTGAAAACTTATATACTTTTATATTTATTGTTTTATCTAGCGTCTGGAGTTAAATTAATAAATGTTGACTTGCTGCATATATTTACCGATTTATACCGTAATATGAAATTATATAAATAATAATAATAAAATAATATAAATTAATATAATAAATTTAGCAATTGAAGAACGAGGCTCTGAAATTTAGCTATGCACGAATGTTAAGTTTGGACACACAGAATGTTTGTTTTATCCTCGCACAATCGGATCGCTTAAATTTGATAGAACGTCTCGACGTCTCTCCGGTTGGCGAAACTCACTCGTGACGGGTTTGATTTCGCGTGGAGACAATCGGGATCGCGCAGATTCCGATCCTGGAACTCTCTCTTTGTTTCGTACCGTCTCCCTCCTTCTCGCGGCCCGTCCGTTTCTACTTCTCCTTCTAGGCGACGATGTTTCACACAACGCGTATATGTAGTCGACGACGTGACACGGTCTAACGGCATTCACCCGACCTCGTCAACCCGTTCACTCCCGTGTATGCGTGCATTCCTGCGTCTTCTTCGCTCTTACGTCGCCCGTGATAACACTTCCGTCACGCGTGTGCGCGCACAATCGTTTGTCATATCGCGACGGGTCATGCGAATCCGACACGGCGCAGTCATGTCAAAACTCGTTTTATCTCACGGGCCACACGAGCAATTTCGCACAATTTTATACTGACGGTTATGTGTTTTCAACGTTTACCGGCATATTGGCGTCTTGGATTTGGATTTATCTCTGAATTTTTATCTGTGAACGTTAAGAAAATCAGCAATTATTTTTCGCAATTATTTTTGTAAAATTATTTAACAAATAAAATGTTAAACGTAATAATGAATTTTCTTTCTTTTCTTTCTCGTGCCTTTATATTTTATATTAAATCTACTAAAGAACTCTTTATTTTGATATTCGCGTGACTCAATTATCTCATCTTGTAGCCTGGTCTATCTCTCGCGCGTCCTGTACAAATTAAAACCGCAGAGAGATTAACTTTATCAGTAATTGAACAAACTAACAATATTGCATTTGTAATATTCGTATTACATATAGCATCACTCATTTGAATAACGCTGGAATTTCCTCTCCTTCCTGCGGTCGAATATTTCCTACGTCACAGCTAACGGAGATAGCTCGGATAGTAAATAGGAAAATACTTGGTGTACATTTAAGAGACTTTAATAATATGCAGCGGCGCGCATATGCATTACGACAATTGCTGTTCCAGTTGCGTCAAGAATGTTGCAGGACAGTATTATGCATAAATCTCGGCTTAAACTCATTTTCCGCAATATCGATAAATAAATTAAAACGATGTAAAAGCGAATTCGCGATTTTGCGCTTCACAATTTTAAAATGAAAATTACCGGCCAATTATTTCCTTTTTTTTCTTTAAATCCTACCTTTCAACTTGAAAGCTTCATCTTGTGAAACGACAAGGAACGAAAGAGAAATTATTTTGAACAGCTGCCACGTAAAAACTTAAATACGAAGAACTTAATTATCTCTCTCCGAGTTTAAATCGACCATTCCGGCCTCCGCCGATCTTTTTTGGCAGACCGGCTTCAACTTTAGTTGTAATATTTAGCCGTGAAAAAGATGTAAATGTAAATCTCGATGTACTAACGGCAAATAACAAAGTTTCTTGCAGCAGTAATGAAGCACACTTGGGAAATGTCGGCTAGCAAGAAACGGTTATTACATCGCGCCTCTTAAATTTTATCGTACCGTTAGCGATTGTCCCGCTGTTGCCTGCTTATTACAGATCATTAGCAATTCGTTTCATTTTATTTTTAACGTTGAGAATTTAAGTAGCCGTACCCTGCAAAACCCAGTGTGAGACTGGCTCTCGAGCCCGGGGAAAATGCGAAGGCTCTCCGTATCTTCTCCGCTTTCTGCATCCCCAATGAAATTTCCTCATTCCATTTCGCGCGTTCTTAAACGGAAGGCAGCTCGGCAGATTTGTGTATTTTTACTCTAAAAATATACGCCGGCATTCTCTGACTTTTCAATTCAAATTCAGGTCAATACGAAATAAAACTCTATTTTCTCAGTGGTCTCCCGGCTTCTATTTGTGCTGTTTGTCAATTTTGCCTCTGGAATTTTCATACAAAGGCGTTACTTCAATAATACTAAAACTTTGTTTCTTCCTGGTCTCATGTAAAACTTTGAAGTTGAAAGGGAGAGAATTCAAGAAAGAGATTATTTAAATTCTAAATATGCTTATTTAATAATTCTTACCTTTTAAATGCTTTTGTTCTTCAACTTTCTCTATTTTTGTAGAATAGAACGTTCTGAAAGAAAGTACAAAATATGCTTGCGTTATTATTAAAATAATGCGCTCGTGTAATGCATGCATTTATTCACGACGTCGAGAGTAAAACGCGACACTTTCGGTATTTTAAGCCAATTTAAGCTATAAGAAAATAATGTTTGAGATTAGAAATCAAATGTGTTGCATTACTTTCTAAAAGTCCATTGTACGTTGATGGGGATGCTCGAGGGGGATTTTTAATGAAAATGCTGCATTTCGTCTCCGCATACTTTATTCGCTATTCATCATCTTTCCGTATCCGTTTTCTTACAGGAAACACAACGAAACTCCGTGTAGTATAATCGCCTAACATACTGATTTCTCTTGCAGTTGACACACCGCGAGATCTCACGTGGTAAAAAAACACGCGTCTCCAAGATACCATTAAGAAGTCCCGACATCAAGCGGTACTCGAGGTGGATTTTGAAGCGCCGACGTTTCAGAATTCCTAATAGGAATCACGCACAATAGCATTGACTGGAATCAAAGAAGCCAGGAAATTGTTACGCGCAGCGGTAATTTAAGCGACACACACGTAAACGTTGCCTTCGCGTGGAAAGAAACTTCTCAGGCGACGAATTAAAGTCTCGAATCCTCTCCCTCTAATTTCGCGAGCCGTCAGCCATCGAAATATACGTAATAAAAGATCGTAGCGGTACCGACGACCGAACGGCTTTCCGCAATCCACCACCTGTGGCTTCTGATAACTCCTCTGATAAAGAGAGGAAGAGGAGCACCGCCGCGAGGCCTTCGACTTTCAGCTCGAGATTAACGCTAAGCCCTCATTTTTAAAGAACGCTCTCTTTCTATTAACTCAGGTAGATGTACTCCGCAGGTCGCGAAGGAACATTTCGACCGTATTCATTCGAGAGACGATTGATTTTCGCAAAGTCGACAGGAAAATGTCAAGTTTCTTTCGCGATTTAGAATATTTTTGGAAACTTCAAGAGACCTGCTGAGAACAATGAGAAAGCGTTTCTAATAAATGAGAGTTGAAAGCGAATCCTTTCGAAGGCGAGATCATTTGTTCTCGTTCAAAGATCAGTGGACAAAGATCTCGCGGATTAACGCGAAACGGACACTGCCGAGAGTGATCTCGGATAAGAGACACTTCGTATCTTAAAGAGATCGTTGCAGAACACAGAACGTATAGAAAACGCGTCATCAGATCTCGGAAAAAGATTTTAAAGCTTCTGAAAAAGATTCCGAAGAAATCGAACGATCGGAGGTGGGATTGGTATCCTTTCCTTTCTTTTTCATCGAGAACCGTGGAAGGTAATTCACGAAAAACGGCGAACCACTACGGGGTGCATTACGCGAACTCGTACGCGTGTAGCAACGGCGCACCGAGCGTGTACACCAGCACCGGTTGTTGCACGAACATCAACGGTGGCGGCTTCAACGTGCAGCAGCCGCAGCCTCACGAGGACTATCGGCCGATCTACTTTTACGTGGCGCAGCCCTACACGATCCCGTACACCTTCGCCAAGAGGCCGAAACCCGCCGCGTCGTCGCTGCTAAGGGCGGCGAAGCCGCGCGGCAACAATTGCCGCGTCAAGTTCTCCAAGCGGCTCGGAAACGCCGACTTCTCGCAGAAGGTCAAGCAGGGCGAGTTCTCGCGGAGTCTGAACCAGGTGCACTTCGCGGAGGGTCAGGGTCAAGGTAACGTTCTTTCAATTCATCGAGAGAGAAATTGATGAGCTTACTTTCAATCTGACTTGAATTCGACTTTCTAAAAAATAGTTTATATATTATAATCTTTGACATGTCATCTCCATTTTTTTAAAATACCTGAACGGTCAGAAGATAAGTTTCTCAATTAGTCGTTTAATTTGATTTTTATTTGAATTATTGGTTTAATCCAACTAAGTATATGACGCATAATTCTTTTGATGAATTAATTTAATAAAACCGATTTTCCTGATAAAAGTTTATGACTGTGTATAACACTGTGTTTATGACTTATCGCTTGAGTAACGTCTTTCTCTGAATGGTCTACTGTACTTAACTTTCATCGCATAATTGAATTACATATTCGAGTTGTAATTGAGTATGTGCATATAAATTGAATTGTGTGTAATGTGAGTATAATTATACTGGAATTAGTAGTTTTATTAGAAATGATCTTGTTATATCTTCTGCGAAATCTCGGCGACTTATACTGGCATTTCCCCTTTGTCAGTTCTGAAAATTGTTTTGTAATTGAATTAATTGAATTAATTGAATCTCGCGTTACGTTCGAACTATTATATTTTTCTGCGGATAGATCTATTTTTATATATGCATTCTATACGAAATGTCAAAGCTTTCAGTGCTTCAAAGACGCTTTCACACCCGCAGATTCTTCTAGCAGACCGGATAATTGTTGCGAAAGCGGCATAGTTTCTGTGTGGCATAATTTAAATAGCGACTGTCGTCAAGTAGATTGCCGATGCCCATGCGAAGAGCATCTCGTTCTCTCTCTCTTGTGCGGAAACACGAACATGTCGCACGCGTCTCCGGTCAGTTAAACGAATGGAGAAAACACATCGTCCTAGAGAGAAAGGAAACAAGCTGCACCGTTGCATAGACGCGAAAGCTGAAAAATGTGGCAAAAGTCAGTTTTTTAAAGAACGTGATAAAATCGATGCAATTCTAATAATTCGCCTAATAATAATAAAATAATTAAATATTTAAGACATTGAGATCAAAGAATCTGTAGACCGAAAGAACTGCGATTAACGCGAAACATTTTATGTATAATTAATTCTTTGTTTATATGAGTTTGACTAGAGACAAGCCGATTTAACGAATGTAACGAATTAATGAAATTTATTATTATTTCCACATTTCAGTACACGTGGTTTTTAGTTATTCTTAGTATTATTATACTTTAACTGATTTTCTCTTTCTTCTAAACTGCTGCAGCGCGAAGGAACTTTTCACGGGTAGAAAAGCATTATTTCGTTTTGTTTGTGCGAGGAGGATGGAAGTGTTTCCGACGTTAAAAATTTGTACTGTTATTCCGACGGTAGCGGCTTCCATCGGTAGGTTCTCATGTACGCGGCGTAACGCGCGGATGATGTTAATAAGATGCAGCGAGGCGAGACTCTGCTCCATGCAGAGATCGCGAAGACGTTTGCTTTCCGCGCTACGTGCGGGATAGACTGGATAGAGGATGAAAAGCGTTCCTTTTACTTCGCGAACGAAGGGAGGAAAGACGTGCATTTCGCTTGGATTTTTTTCAGACATTTTTATCTGTTGGATAGTTATAATTTTGACATGCTTGACAAAGTGAGAAATCTTCTCAACATGGTTAGACTCTGTTAGACAAGGAAGCGTTAAAGCAGCGAAAGATATAATCAAGACGTATAAAGGAATTGAAAATGAAAGGTTCTTCGTGAATTCTTTATAGCGGCTTTCAATAAACAAGGAAATTCTACTTTTTATTTCAGTTCAGATATTATCGAAATTTAAATCTGAAAATATCTTGAAGATCTTTATGAATACTGACTTATTACGTATAATATGTGTCAATAATAATTTTTTGCAACAATAAAAATATTTTCGTACAACGCTAAAAATTATACCAAATTTTTTACTGTCTTCTCTTTTTAATATATCTTCGTCATTCTTTTACTCTGCAGTGCTCGCGAGCTATCCGAAAACTGGACCGTCTCGTGATCCGAGGATGACGTCGATGTTTCGAAGAGGCACGATCTTCGCGACCTTCTTCCTGTCCCTGCTGGGTGGTGGGCTCGTCTGCGCCGCCCTCGTGACGCAGCACTGGGTGGAGGCACGACCGTGGAGAACGCCGAATCCTCAGGATAGCGCCGGCAGAGTTCATTTCGGCCTGTTGCAGGGTAAAAAGGAATTAAACGTCGCTTACGGATGGAGGACGTATCACGTGTCCGGTATGTCTTTCCGCCTTTCTCCTTGTGCAACGCCGATTACGTTTTGCGCGTCAATCACTTGATTTCTCTCTTACAATTAGTATGACAGGATATCGTAACCTTGAGCGGTATGCACTCTGACTATTAATCGTGCGCGTTCCAATCGGAAAATTGATATGCAAGGCACCGTTAGCTAAGACTTTAAACTATGTAGAGTTTGTTACAATATAATACAGGGTATCTTGCAAGTCTTACAAGTTGCTATCTTAAGTAGGTATCATATAATTATGCAAGCAAATACTAGTTGAAACTTGAAACAAGTCTTTTCAATGAGAGTTACGGTATAAAATACAGTATCAATCAGTTAAAAGGAAATTTATGAAAAATATTATTAGAAAAATATATAAAAAGATTTAATTTTTATAAGAAGATTAAAGTATAAAAACAACTGTCACTAAATTCTATAATGTAAATTAAAAAAGAATTATTTACTTGTCTCAAGGGATATAAGAACAGATAAGGAGAAATAGAAGGACATATTTTTAAAATTCTGTTTTTAAAATCACTTTTTTTATTTCGAAGATTACTCAATCTTATACAATGTGTGATTTTCTATATATATATCAATTTCTTTTAACGCTTTTATTTTTCGCCAGAATTATCCTATCGGAATTATCCTGCGATTAAGCGATTGTAATAACTTCGTAAATCGTAACGACAATCGAGTATTGTGCGATCGTGCTTGGATACTTTTCAAACTGCGATATTCGAGTGACTCACACGACGAATTATGATTGCACGGAGATATCCGTGAGAGAAAGGCTCGTGAATGATAGAACATACTGGTGTGAGGTGGGACAATAAATCTGCGACTGATAACCGAGTGCATTAGAGTGCCATTCAGCGTCCGACGATGCCTGTAGTTGATCGCGGACGTACGATGTGCATGCGTGCGCGATAAATCATTGATTTGGTAATCGTTAAATTCATTCCATTGATTTCGCTTGCCGATCGAAACGATCGCGTTGCCAATGGACGCATCGCCACATCCTTTGTACTGGATGCACGGAGTACTCACAATAACTTGGAAAAAAAAAGAATGCAAAATTCACGAATGCATTGATGGAAGGTTTTAACGCGAGTCTTTTGATAATTGCAATTTGTTGACGCATAGAGTTATAGTGCATTTAATTTTTTTTAAATAGAACCATGAAAACAGAGTATTTTTTTTATATTATCAAATTTTTCGATTGATAGATGTCTGTGTAGTCATTGTTTTTTTTCTGATTATTATATATATCTTTTTTAAATTGAAATTGTTATTACGAGAAGAAACTCTGTTATCGTGCTATAACTAACATACAATGGCGGTCGAAGCACTCAACCGGAAACATCCGTTCCTCGTGGCATCTTGGAATGGTGTTTGCAGGTGGAGTTCACAAAGGGGATCTTTCACAAATATATAAATATATAAATAATTTAAAGAAAATACCGAACATACAACCCTTTTCGTATAAAATTATTTTAATTTTTGTTTAAAATTCATTTTAATAATGAAAGTTACAGACATTACTTTTACGTATGTATATACAAATTTTTGAAGAAAAATATCTAAAAATTCAGAAAGTGAAACAAAGAGACATAATTTTAAAATAAGTAAGATAATATTTTTCTCTAAAAATTTCAAACATTTAAAATTTAAAAATTGGTGATTACATTTGCTATATATTCTCTCTTTCTTTTTAATTTTAATGTTGTAATTTTTATCAAGTTTCAGAACCCTCAAATTTCGAAATTATTCCGAATTTCTGGAACTTTGCGTATCATTAAATTTTTACACTGTCTCAATGTAAATGTTAAGAAATCCAATTCGTCTCTATATCCACATCCGCCGAATGCACTTTTGCGAATCGACGGTGCATTGTGCCACGCGCGAAAAAAATAAATTTCTTATACACAATGCATAATAATCGTGCCGATGAGCAAGCGACTTTTACATAGCTATTACGCCGTACTTCCGGAGAAGAACAACAGAATCGCTGGCACGCGCTGTGAGAAACATTTCTCTTTCATTCAGGCGGGTAATGAGTCCGAAGGGATACCTAACGCGCGCGTAAACGTGCATTCCACTATTACGTATCCCACCGGATATTCTATTCCCTTAATCGCAGCTTTTTTGGCCAATTTAAACTTTTCCTCAACGGAAATGTCAAAGGAAGTCATTTGTCTATTACATTTTTCTAAATTATTATCACCCGTACATTTTTGTATCTAAACTCCAAATTACAATTTTATTTAAATAACTTTAATAGTCCCTTGATTTTTTTATTCAGAAAATCCGACTGATATTTAAGGACACCTGATCAGAAAATGCGATTGTTAATTACTGGTACATTTTTAAAATGAACAAAATAATTATAATGAAACGGTTTCAGATTTTATTAATTTTATTTGTTAAAGAACGAAATGGTCAACGGTAATTTCAAGGAGAAACTCGAGCGTATAATTTGAACACAACATATATATTTGAGAGCGAGCATATATGCACGTTCGAATTTCTCTCAGTGTAACCGCAGGCATGTGCATGCTTGCATGTTATCATATATATGTAACAAAAAAAACCATCAAGTTACGAGATGTATGCGGGTAACAATAGACGCGGAAACTAGTTTTAGCGTACAAAAATCAACGACCAAGCCTCGTGGTCTACTTTCACGTGTCCGCGCGCGTTGCTCGTATCATCGCGCGCGTTACTGATGCTGACCGCGGTAAGAGTATCGGATTCTGGTACGCGATCAATTCTACGCGGAGAGGAGAAAGAGAGGGAGATAGGAAGAAGGAGCGGTCGATAATTCCACCTGATCGCGGCATTCACAGCTTACATTATTCCTCTCAACATTCACTAAGCACATTTTCTAGAAGTATTTTCAGTATAAATGCATTGCGTCGACATCATCAATCATTCAACATGTAAATAAATTAAATTTGTACATTTATGAAGAAGCTATTTTGATGGACGTTTAAATCTGAGAATGAATTTGATAAGAATGGAGTTTTAGAATCTCGAAACACTGAAATTGATAATAGATTCTAATGCCGTCTTGGATCTTCAATTTTGGTCAAACAGACGATTATTGAGGCATAAAAATGAAAAGTGTACACTATATAGAGGATTGGAACGATGTCGCGAATGCCGGTAGATACGTTTTTGAGTACTTGAGTACTTTAGCGGTAGATACATTTTCGCGAGTCGGCGATACTCGCGGAACTTGGCGGCCGCCTCCGGCGAATGCAATGATCCGTTATTCACGCCGTCGTAAGTTGAAATGTCTCACGGAAACTTCGTCGTATCCTGGAAGCGTAATGCGCGAAATATTCCTACTTATATCCGTTCTTTCGCTCTCGAGCGTACATCACGGCCGAATATAAAATACGATAGCAGCGGCTTTTAGTTTCCGCGGCATGCAATACATCCGCATCAACGAAAAGACGTCAGAAGTAGCGGAACATTGTGGGTATTTTCAAGTGACGTTACTGAAGATATATTTTCATATGTAAAGTTAATCGCTCGAGAGTTGGCTTCGTTTCAATTTTCGGACATTATATGATGACATATAGCACGAAAATCGTAGAAACGCGACAAAATAATATTAAAATATGTATAATATATGTAATAATTGCAAAGAGAGTATAATTACATTTAAAGAATTGAAAGAGATTATGATACTTATAATTTAATTTTATCATGGTATTCAATAACATTAATTATACATAGACTCACAATACATTTTACGTATTAGCTTAGAAGCGAATCAATTATAATTTAAATCGTGTTCATTAAGCTATTTCGAATATTAAAATATTGATTAATAATGTTTCAGTTCCTCAAATGATCCGGCAGGATCCGTCGGTGATGTCTTGGGCCCTTTGGATCGCTACCTTAACAACAACCTCGGCTGCTCTGGTAGCGGCTGCGCTCGCTGCTCTTTTGGCAGTTTTAAATACAGCTACTTCACCAAGATCGAAGATTCTTTCCATCCCTGGTGTATATTTTATAAATATGTTAACGCGTAAGTATTTTTTCGACAACATTTTATCAAAATTATAAAAGATATTCTCTTAAAAAAATCATCAGTACAGAGATCTCAGCTGTTAACTCTTTCAATATATTTTATAGATTAATGTCTTACTATACATCTGTCTATATTTATGTTTATGGCAGTAAATATTTTTTTTTTTTTAGATTTATATAATGCTGATTTTTTAATAAAGTTCCAAAAAGTATTTTAAACTCATGAATAACTACGTTCATCATGTGCAGCATGGACACTTATTCATTATTTATTTTTAGTGTTAATGTGCTTAGCAAGCAGTTGTACTTGGTTAGCGCAATATTATACAAGACTGTATGTCAATGTGCTTCCAAAGGAGGACATCGATAATATGTGGACCAGCGAGGGTTCTGCTGAGCTTGGTTATTCATTTTGGTACGATATACTCTTTATATTTATATGATAAAATTGCTTCAAATTAAGCACTTATTGAGACTCGTCGATGTTCTTATTTTTCTATCGTAATGGATTATTATGATTAAATTTTTTTCATTACTTTTTCCAACTTTTGCAACTTAATTATAAGTCGTTGATTGTAACGGTGACAAGGAAAAGTCAGATTTATTAAACTGTTAATTATTTTGGTGCTTAAAGAAAACAACTTGTATAGATAAGTAAATGTGCTATTTGAATTAGCTAACTGAATCAATGTTTAAATGTCGCAAATATTTGTATTTTTGTGCAATTAAAAAGAAATTTCTTTTAAAAATTAAAATTTATCTTTTACGTAGCATGTTTCTCATTTGTATTATTCTTGAGTTAATTACTGAATTATATTCAATATTCTGAAATTTAGAATAAGTAGTTTATTCTTATCGTCTGAATATTTTTCCATTTAGGCTTGTGGTTAGCGCCGGTGTTGTACATCTCATTAGTATAGCATTAGTCGGCTGGGGCTCAGGCAGAGAAAAGGATGATCGTCTGGAACCAATACCTGCACTTGAAGAGAAAACAGCCGCAGCGATAATGTTATACTAAACATTATAATAGTGTTAAAATCGATGCAAGACTACGATTGAATTACGCTAACGTGCGTAATATCAAATTGATAGTGTCTATATCAAGATTGAACGAAAATTATAGCTGATTGTGAGATTAAATAGCAATAGTGTTTTCGTTCATAGATTTGTGCCTCGCACAGTTCCTAGATATCTGCCAGGCGTTTGTAATTATTTGCCTAGATACAGTCCAGTTTTGCAACAGATATTGTGCAATTTGATATCGAATTGAAACGCAAATATAAACGTAGCAAGTATGTTTGAAGTGAAACGCGTTAATAAAAGACAATATTTCTCGTATGTGACGAATTAAGAGTTGGGATATGTATCACCCATGTGTGGCATATAATGTACATTTTGTCATGTTTTATGCATCGATATTATGTTAGTTCATAATAATATTCGTGATTTCAAAGCGACACTAATCGATTTACGAAATTTACGGAAAACGAATATTTTATGTGTAACAATCGATTATGATTGAAAGTTATGCGCTATTCGCTTTACATGGCATAAAAAGACGAGATTGAGCATGGAAAAACGCTTTATTATAGCTTAATCTATACATTAGTTTTTTTTTTTTTATCAATAAGGCCGCAATCTAGACAATTATCGTTTCAGACTTCGGTTAACAAATTTCTATCGTTGATAGTATAAACATTCGTATACAGATGTGTATGTAAATTATGCGCTACGAATTCAGATGGTATGCCTTCTGGTTTATCATGATTATTATCGAGTTATCTCCTGATATATCTCGTAAATAGTTGAAATCCATTTTTATATCCTTATTTAGCTATGTTTTTTCTTTTTTTTTTACAAAGGCGATTGTTTTGACTAGACTGGGCTTTTAAAAGAGAACGATAATATATATATATTTCTACCTATAATCCAATTAGTTAGAGGATATTTAATAAGTAAGCGTGGCGTGCCTTTTCTTCGAGACTAAATACTTTTAACAATTATTTCTTGAGACTGTTATATCCATATAAAATGTACGATTTAATTCCGTGGCCGTGGCAAATCGTACATGGAACGTATCATGAAATGTAAATACAATAAAAAGTTTGCTCCTCGGGAGTATATTTATTACAATGATGTCGCGGGCGTAATAATAAAACAGCGAACAGGTCATAGAATGTGTTATAATCTTCGTACATACTTTATTTCCTTCATTACGTCGAGATCCTCGTCCTTATAATTTATTTCACATAAATGGTTTCATGCGTATAATATACAATAATCATTTGCTGTAGGTATGCGATGGGAAGAAAACGTACAGTAGGAAATTGTACAATTTTCCTCTTAAGGAAAGATGTGTGATAACACGCGAGATAATGTAAAAAAAAATTTAATGAAGGAGTAGGGTACAAGAGAATTTTATTGATATCTCTATCTTTTCTATATCTTATTGTTAGTCCTTTGAAACAAGATATTTTAATTATGATATTAGAATGACTATCGACTTGAATCTATATTGGATCGAATATTTCAAACGCGGATTTGCCATATCTGTTTTGCATACTAATCAATATAATCTATCGTATCTAATCATATCTAATCTTCATCAAAATATCTTGCATCTCCAATTCTCACTATACATCTATTCACTAAAGCTATTCCCCGCCCATTTTCTTGTCTGGAAGAATAAAGCCACGCACAAAACAATAAAAATGGACAGACTTCCGTATTAGATAAAAAGTCTATTCATATATGTATATTATGTCGCTCTTAGAGAATAATAAATTTATATTATATAATATTATATAAAGCTACACGATTAACTGAGGCTTTGATGTTAGCGCCGACTGACTTTGGACCAGCCATCATCCTCTACTGGTCGCCTTCTTTCGTCAGCTTTAGGCGGAAGTCTGTCATCTTTACCATCTCGCCTAAAATAAAAATAAAAAAATCGAAATTTAAATTAAAGCTTAATAAAGCGATTAATATTTATAAAACTCGCGCTAAACATTTGTATAACATTGTATAATTGTTGTATTTCATTAAATTATTATTGCTACATATTCTCTAAATATTATACTCACTCACGCTTGGGTGGATCTCTCGGGGAATCTTGAGGTGGGTCGCGTTTCCGCCAGTCCTGATTGGTATTTCGTGCTGGTTCGTCACGCCGCTCGCGAAAACCGCCACGGCGATCAGACATTCTACCGCGATCTCGATCCCGATCATCACGTATCCCGTCACGTGGAATCTCACGTACCTGTAATTGAAATTAATTAAATATAAATATTATTAAAAAATATACAAACTTAGAAAATAAAAATAAATATTATATAATCAATACAATTAATAAAGCATAAACGAATAAAGAGAGCAACAGTAAAGAAAAAGAAGTTCTATGTGTATGACACTTTATAACATATATAACATGTATTGTATTAAGAGAACGTATACTTACTCCGCGTCCATCCATTCCACGGTCACGGTCACGGTCACGATCGCGGTCGCGATCGCGATCATCTCTTTTGTCGAAACCACGATTGTCTAGCCTATCTCGATCTTTTAAATCGTCTTTATCAAAGTTATCATCTTTCCTCCATTTATCCATAGGATCCTTCTTCCATCGGTCCGAGTCGTCGTTTCTTCTCCATTTATCCACGTCGCGACGTTCCGGTTCCCTTCTCTTCCATGAAGAATCCTCGATTTTGTCATCGCGTTTCCTCCAGCGATCCGTTTCGTTTTTGAGTCCATCGGCGTCTTTGTCAGCATTACGCCGCCATGAGTCCAGCGCTAATAATGACAAAGGATAGTACAAATTAAATTTCATCGATATATGCATATACGGAAACATTTAGCGAGAAAACATGAATGTGTATTATACTCACAGGGTTTTGGACCATCGCGTTCGCGTTCGCGATCGCGATCACGATCACGATCACGATCGCGGTCACGGTCACGATCGCGTTCACGATCATGATCTTTATCCCCACGTCGCCATGTTGAAGTCAATTCTTTATCTCTCTGCCGATCTTCCTCCAATTTACGTTCGATTTCAGCGTCCTTGGCTCTAATAATTTCGGATTGTTTCTTAAGCTTAGCCAAACGTTCGGCTTCTTTAGCTTCCTCTTCGGCCCGTCTGATTCTCTCCTCCTCCTCCTTCTTGGCTCTTTCCTCCTCAAGACGTTTCTTTTCCTCTTCCTGTTTAATTCGCAATTCTTCCAGTCGTCTTCGTTCCGCGGCTTCCGCACGTTCCTTCTCCCATTTCGCCTTACGCTCAGCTTTACGCTCCATTTTGCGCTTCAACAACCGCTTGGCACGTTCCTCGTTCATCAGTTTATCAAAGTCCTTTTGTTTTTCCATGTATATGCTCCTACGCTCAGCCAAGATCTTGGCCAGGAAGATGTCGTGATCCTCTTTCATACGCGCTAAGCGCTCTTGAGTCGCGACAGCCTCCTGCCTCTCTTCGATAGCCGCGGCGATTCGCTCATCCTCCTGCTGTCGCCAGAGCTGTTTCGCTTGTTGCATCTTGTCCTGCAAAGCCTTGTCCAGCAGCGGGATCTCCTCGAGTCGTTTAGCACGCTCAAGATAATCGACTTTCTTCTCCTGAGATTTAAGCTTCTGCTGCATCTCCCTACGTTCTTTCTGCAGTTCTTCAGCTTCCCGCGCCGCGATCTGCTCCGCGTCCAACTTTTTGATCTCATCTTCGTCTAATTTCTTCAGTACCTTTTGCCCGTGGCTCGTCTGTGAGATTTGCTGCATCTTTTCCTTGAGATGGCGATCCTTGATCTGCTGAATCTCGCTCTGCTGACGCTTCCGCTCACGCTCCTCCCGCTCCTGTTCCAGTCGCTTTTGTTCAGCCAGCATCTGCTGCCGCTGGAGCTCCTCCTGTCGGCGCATCTCCTCCTCTTCGCGGACCGTATTGATGTGCTCGATGTACTCCTTTCGCTCCTCGATAATCTTATGCCTGCCCAATATTCTCTGATGCTCCTTCATCTTGGTTTCGTGATAGTGAGCGACCATCGCGTTGCGTAGCTTCTCACGCTCGAGTTTCTTTTTGTTAGGATTTATCACATTAATGGCACGGTGCAACACGGTCGCCATGTTCACCAATTGGCAGCGTATTTGTTCGGAGGGCATCGCCTGCAATACCGGACCATCTGGATGATCCTCTCGTTGCGCCTCCGAGAGATCCACTCCGAAGTGAACACATGTCTTGCCGTGGTCTATTCTGATCTGCATGTCGTTATAGCGCACGCAGTCTACCAAAAGACGCTCAAGGTGAAAATCAGTAGTGAATTTGGCGAGTTCTAGGAGTCTGGAGAATTGTATAGTTTGATAAACTTGAGAAATTTGATGGACAAGACGCACGAGTGTAACATCTTGCAAAGCCGGGATGTACTGGACTAACGGACTGTTTTCGTCTGCCTGTAAGGTCTGAATGACAGAATCAACTCTGCTACAGAGTTCTAATGGATGAAACTCCACCTCTAACCACGAATATAGTTCTTGTAATTGCGGTGACGCGAGGCTGACAACGTTCAAGCGAACGATGTCTTTCAACAAAGATACGCGCGTCGGTGGTTGCGAGAGGCCCAAAAGAGTCGCGAGTTTCTGCGCTTTTTCCAGCGGGCTTTTGTCGGTCTCTATAAAACGATCGAACTCGGGATGCGCGGACGGCAACGGTATCGACAACGTTGCCAATAATACACGGTTGGCCATTCGCTGCTGTTCCTCCGAGGACATGTTCTTCTTCATTTCACGCGAGAGTTGCAGAAGTTTGAACAATGCGGCCGCGTGAAACAGGTAATTGCCGGCCTTCCAGAAAACCATAGCCAGCTTCTGGTAGTAATTTGCCATTGTTTTTGGCACAGGAAGCTTCTTCGACAAATTCATCATTCCATGAACGTCCTCCGAAGACTTAAAAGCCTCCTGCCACAACTCCATCTGAATTGCAGAATCCAGTTGATTTAACCTAGTTTCTAGATTCAGCTGTTGTGTTTCTGCCTTATTCATGGACACATTCGACACGAGCGGAGGCAATTTGCATATTTCTTCCAGATGTTTTCGTAATTTTTCGCACAACTTGCGAAACTCGGTCTTTCTACTGTATTCCAGACAAAACTGGAATGCCATTCGTGCTATATCATGGTAAAGGGTTTCTACATGAGCGTTCGTCCTGAGCAATTCCAGACACTGGCAGTATGATTCCCATAGGAATTTAACCCAGGGTGTTAAGATTGTCCGGTCACTCCGGTCTTGCGCATCTTCTCCGCTAACGGCCGACAGCAAGATGCTCTCAGGCGTAGCAAGGTTATCTAGATCATCAATATCAATGACGGCTTGCTGACTCTGCTTGCGCGCCGCATTGGTTTTCTCCTCAGCCATTTTCAAGTATCCGCGTATGACGTTCTCCAGACTTCCAACGTTGACGGACTGGAACATGTTCCTGTACTGGAACAAGCCTTCCTTCGCTATGTGCGACTTCTTCAGTTCCACACACAGGTCTAGATACTTGAACATGATCGGCTCCAGCACCGATTCTGACCAATTGTAGGTCCATTTCTTGTTTCTAAAGACCTCTTGTAACGTGTCCAAAGCTCGAGCCGGTTTACCGACTTCTATAAATTCTGTTTAGAAAAAGGAACAGAAATATCAGCATATCGCGCAAGCTATATTCAATTTAGAAGTTAAAAAATAGTTTATTAAATAATATAAGCTTTTATATATGTATATTATAAGAATCATTAAATGTATGCAGAGGGATCTACATGAGGGGTGACTACAATTAATATCAGCCTATCGAAACTATTTAGCTATACTGTTATGTATCAAAGTAAAACCGTATATCTAGACATTGGAAAAAGAAAAAAAAAAACACTTTGACAAAATTAATGGTTATAAGTGTTATAACATGTCGAGTTTTGCTTATGTAATGGACAAGGTGTGACAATATAAAACAATACGATATATTTATACAAGAAACAAAGTCAATTTACACACACGTGTACGTGAACCGCTAAAGAGCATGAAATTTACACGGTGAAATATGGTAAGTTCGGCCAGATCCTTTCCAGTTCTTAGCATCTTTTATACACGCGCGTCTCACGTGCTCCCGTTAGATAAAAAAGACTCGAAAATAGCTCTGCGTGCAATCCGAAGGGCATCGCATAGTACTTTAGGGTAAATCGCATAATCGTGGCTCTCCGCAAGCCCGACGACCGCGGAATCCGTCCGATGCGAGTGCACACGGTCGTGCGAGAGGTCGGGGAGTTCCATCGCGAGATCAGCAGCAGCCTTGACGGCACGCCGATTATCGGGACACTGTGCGGCGCACGGTGGGGCGGCTCGTCAGAGCTCCGAAATTATCTCCGCGTGCAGGAGCAACGAAGCTCCGCGCTTTCCGCGCGGACACGCGCGAGAGACGCGAGCCACCATTCTTCGGTCGCGCGGGAGCTCGATGCCCATCGGCCATGTCGCGCTCTCGTGTGGAACATCCAGGCGGGACACCGCGACTTACCGTTCGCCCTTTTCAGGGCGTTCTCGGGTCTCTGCCCGTAACGCGCCATGTTTCCTCTCAGCGTGATCGGCTACAGATTCACCATATACCACGGCGTGAGCTCCGCGGCGGCTTGCAGGCGTTGAAATACCGTCGGCGCGCGATAACGTGTGCTCCGCACGTACCCTCGACCGCGTGTACCGGATAGGAGAGGCTGGGAGAGGCGGCCACCGAGGAAAAATGGCTTCCCGTACCGCAGGGGTCAAGATGCGATCCCGGACGTACGGGACGAGAGCGGCGCGTGAGCGAAGGGGCGTCTCGGAAATCCTCGCGTTGTAGAATAATCGCGCGACCGCGCGTGAATCGCGATCGTTTGACGCTAAACTTTCGTTCCACTTCGAGACGCACCGACGGCCCGACGACACATGCGCGCGCGACGTTCACGGACCGACGCTTGACTTGACACGTGCAGTAACCGAACGACCTCTCGCGCCTCGTGCCTGCCGACATCGATAGTCGGCGGCTGATTGGCCGCGCGTCGCCGCTTCGAGACTTCGATAGTCGATAGATTTCACGCTTCCGTTCCGTCGATAGATTTCGAATCGGCGGAGTTGAGTCGCGTCGCGTCGCGCGTCGGATCATACATCGTACGGGAGTGCAAGTATATTATATAGTATTTTTCGCGAGTGTGATTTCGCGAGTGAGCGGTAATCGCGAGTGTCGCGCGGACCGCGAATGTTCGTCGTAACGTTGCGTATACGATGATCGTCATCGGGACATTCAGGACTCGACTCTCGAGACGCCGCGCTGGTGAAGATCTGGGGATCTCGAGAGACGACCGTCCCCTCTCCTTTTCTCTGGTCGGCAGGAATCCAAAGATATGCGACTGGATTTTGTGGAAATCACTCTCGATGAGGAGCAACGGATTCGAGATCGTCGCGTAATGGTGCAATGGTAAGTACGATTTGTGCATTGCGATTAATTTTTGCCACGTCGGTCGTCTTACAATCGCTTCGGAATATCTCGATTCGGTCGCTGAACAAGTACCTAATGGCGGATCGCCGGGATCACGTTTGAATCGCTTCGCGTCTCTCGCAATTGCTTCCGTCGAAATTTCGTCGACGAGGTGAGACGAATGGGAAATATATATATCGCACCTTATCTTTTCTCTTTAATTTTCTCTCCAGCGTAAAAGGAAAACAGGAAAGATGAACCGTGCAAGAAGTTCAGCTAAAAAAACAGGCCTCTAATATTTTTTTAGGAGTGCGATGGATGTATATTTCAGCTTGTTTGCGAAGTTGAATTTGACATTCTAAACGCGTTTGTTTCGTTTGATTTTTTATCTTTTCATAAATGTTTAAGACGTTAAGTGAGACGTTAATTATAAAATTATAAATAATAAGTGGCGCATCTGAGAAGTGGATATGTCTTGGTCGTTTTTTATTTTATAATTTTTATATAATAGTGGTTATATATAAGAAATAAGCGCTTTATGCAAAAAGGAATGTCGTAGATTTTTTTTTATTGTCTATATAAATATTTCTTAAAAACATAATTAACAATATCAATGTAACATCAAAGATTCAGGCCGAGTAAGAATAAAATAAGTAATTTGCTGGTAGAATATAACGATGAATGCTTATATCTTAATATATAAGATAAGAATATAAGAAATAGATACATTTTATTCCTTATTCCTTATTCTTCACCGTGTTTAACATGTTTAAAGACTTTGGTTTAATATCATAGTACAAAAAGATTTTCGGCAATGGCTAAATTAATGAGGAAACTTTCCACAGCCGGCGCCAAGTTTTTCTCCTTAAATATCTCGACGGAGATCATTCTTCTGCCATCTGGTGCTTGCACTGTCGCTAACGAAGTTAATTGGTTCAAAAGATCTTGCGTCTTATCACTTATCTCCGATATAACCTGTGCCTCCGTGTAGCTTTGATTTTCGCACAGTTGAACCATGAACAAGGCTATCTCCTTGTGAGTTTTTGTCATTGTGAGACTTTCTGAAACAGAATGAATATAGATTATTAGAAAACACAATTTAGTTATAAGATTGCAATGGTCGAGATGCCTCGTGGATATGAAAACGAACAATGTAAACTATTTTTCTTCTCCTTATTACCTTTGGCATGCGGTGCTACAGTAATTTCTCTAGCAGGAATGTTTACAAGTAGGTCGTATAGATCTATTCTTGACGATATCGAGCTATTACTGCAGCCTGCCACATAGTGCGAATATTTCTATAACAATCATAATGAATATAGCAATAAAATTAAGAACAACGTAACAGTAATAATAATAGTATCCGTAATAATAATGCATTCTTTCTACAGTTCATTTTGAATAAAGAAATAACATCTTAATTAGCACTTTTTACTATCAAAGATATATTCTTTCATAAAATACGTGCCTTCAATTCGATTAACTCATCGTTCACCAAATCAATCCAGGGAAAGAGATTGTCAGTGACTTTCCTGTGCTTCATCAACGCAGGAAATGTTTTTATCCACTTAAGAAGCTGCTCCAAGCTGTGATGATATACAATAATCTTCTTTTTCAATAAGAGGGCGGTATATATCAATATTGTTTCTAATTCGAATGTTTTAATCAGTTCTTTGACATTGGTACTAGCTGCGAAACGATGAGTATTGAAATCATCCGAGACAAACGTTCCATTCTCCTGCGTTGAACACGATCCCTTTGTAAATACAGATAGGTATAACTGCAAGATCTCCGTAGGTTTCCCAGTTTTGCAATACATCTTGCTGAGAACTCGTGAAAGTACTTCATACTTTTGTGGATTAAAATCCTTTGCAAAGAGAACCAGGGCGAACTGTTTTACCTGAGATAATTATGAGAATCAAGATATAGTGTTTTGTACATACATGTAAGAAAATATTTTCTTAAAATAAGAAAAGCAAGATCTTATAGGTAGAGATATCAACCTTTGGTAGCTTGTCAGAGTCAAAGACTTCGCTGCAATGTATGTAGAACCAGTCGTGGCCATGTCTCGCACATACAAATACGTGAGGGGATGTATGTTCCAATTTCAAATTGCATTTTCTCGTGACTACGGTCTTCTGAGATTCCGTAACTGCCGGATACGACCATGTCCACAAGACATCTCCATTACAGTCTTTCTCTGCAATTTTTACTCTTAATTACAAGGCGAACATGCAATACATATTTATCACATTTTAACTTCTTATCAGAAAAATGCTATACCTATTACACTGCAGGAAAGTAAATCCGTTAATGGTGCCATTTGGAGCCTTTCAAAGTAAGCAATTTAATGTGGTTGAGTAACTAACAACAATATAACACCTGTCAAAAATAATGTGTTAAAGTAGTCGCTATTTTCTACGTCTTAGTGATATGAAAAATTCATTTTTTATTATATTTTTCCTGTACCTGATACTTTACATTTTTATTATTAAATATTATTAATCCAGTGAATCAAATTATTGGTATATCGACTACTGTCAAATCGCGATAGAAATTGAGGTTAGGTTTAAATTCTTTCT